GCACGGGGGGGCCGCCGGCACCGTGCTGGGACCCAGAGACCGAAGGGGCACGGCCAGCACGGCGGCCACGGCCCTGTGCCCGAAGGGGACGGCGGGGAGGAGGGCAACGCGCCAGCGGCCCAAAGGCCACGCTGTGAGACAAACAAATACGTGTCCGGTAACAGCACGGAGATCCAGGCAGACGGAGATGGTGTTTGCTGGTGTTCGTTTTTCCCTCTGCTGAGGGAGAGGTGGTGACCCCGCCAGGAAGCCGTCCCTGTGCCTTGTCCTCATCGGGGAGAGTCCGAGGGTTACACCCGACACCGGCCACGCTCTGGGGCAGCACAGGGCTCGGTACCTCCATGTGCAGGACAGCAGGGCAGAAGACAAACACTGGGAAACAGCTGAGGAGGATGTAACAAAACACAGAGCTGAGAAGTAGCTACCACGTTTGGACCTTACTGCTTCACCACCATGACATCCCTCATGCGTTTCTGACTTCAAAACGCTTGTTTTATTCTTCCGGAACTCTCAGACAAGTGGAACAAACATCCTCAAGCGCCAGAGGGGAGGCTGATGCTTCTCTGCAGCAAGAGACATTGAAAATCCTAAGGAAAACACACAAAGACACTTCCTACCAAAAATGGAGGAGAAGGACAGCAGTACCCAGTCCATACAAGACGAGACGACCTTCCTTCACAAGGTGCAATGTATTCCTCAGTAAATCATGAAAATGGCTGTCCAGGAAACCCACTTGTATGGATTCTAAGCACTCACCTCAAAAATGTGAAAAAGAGGTCCTGGTGCTAAGAGGACAAATACTGGTAAAATTTAGCATGAGTTTGTGGGTTTGGTCCCTTTTTTTTGTGAGAGCAGAACACAGTATGATGCCAACTCTTTTTCCAACTCAGCACATGACCTGAGAGAAGCTGTCTGCACAGATACCTTTTCCCTTCCTCAAACTTCAACCAACACTGAAAGCACCTCCCTTTCGTTCAGCACCTGGCTAGGACAGACCAGCCACCTGACAAGAATGAGATCCCACTGGAATTTCTTCCTAGCTCACTGGCATGAGTAGCTTTGACCCATCATTAAAGCATCAGAGCACACAATCCAGAAGGAAGATGCTTTGTTAAAACCATGTTTACCAGAGACATCGTCCCTGCCACAAAGAGAAGACCCTTTATAGAAAGCATCTAAAAGAAAAGGAACCTTAGAGAAGCAGCTGAAGTGGGGACAGGAGTTTGGAAATCCCTGACTTTTTGGATTACCATCCACTTATTCAGTGCTGGGTTGCCCTCTTGTAGGGACTTCTTTCTGCAGCATGCTTTTTGGGCAAAGACCTTCTAATTTGGCAAAGCAAATTCTGCAAGAAACTGAGGGGTGCTACTGCTGCCTGCAAGTCTTCTGGTTTTCCTCCAGTTTTCCTGTTCTTATTGCTGAATAGATGATACATTCTCCAATGGGAAAGCAACTGCTTCAATGTTTTTTTGTCATCACAACTGGCAGAGGTAATGACTAAAGACAGGAATCCACTTTCCTATCAGCATCAGATGCCTCATTTACATTTGGCAGAGCTGTCCGGCCGTCAGTTGCACTGTGCAAAGCAGCGGCTAGATGGCACCCACACCCCTGCAAATACTCCGACCGCGCAGAGCTGCACGGTGACTCCTACCAACAGCTCACACAAGTTGGTATTTGCCCGCACAGTAATTTCTGCTGCTCGCTCTGGCAACAGTCCATCTTCCTTTTAAGAACCTTTACACAGTGACATAGAAAACAGATGGGAATCATCACACTTATAAGAAAAGCAAGAAGTTGCTTCATGCAGAAAATGTGATAAAAGTAACATTTAAAGGCACCTGGATTTATATTACATACAAATTCAGCTCAGTATGCTAAAATTTCCTAGGGAGTAACTAGCAGGCTCTTTAGATTCTATTCTGAGCATCTCAGAACACTTCAGGATGAAAAACACACTTCCAGGCAGTTCTGCCTTGTCACAAGTAATATCCAGCAAATGTTTCTCACCTCACCGGCACGGCACGAGGCCTTCTGAAGACAATCACTGCAAGAGGCATCTCCAGCTCCACCTTACAAGCAGCTTTAACTGATTCTGAAGCAACAAGACTGCCTAAGTGCCTTTAGAGATGCTGGAGGGGACTGATGGTAGCAGAATTGTTCTTCATCTTTCAACCCGGCAGACCTTGCCCCTCCACATTCCCAAGACATTTGTTGTGGTTGCTCATGATTAATGCTCCACCCAGAACAGGTCATTTGTTGTGGTTTATCGTAATTAAATATCTTCCCAAGAGGTGGAGATTCTTTCATGGCTGCCACCCCACATACTCTCACTGCTTACCCTGATGCCAGCTGATCTTCTACGCCAAAGTTAATATCAGTAATCTGCAAGGTAAAGGCAGTGGTTTCCTATTGCTATATGCATTAAGAGGCTCCAGGCTGTGACGCCCACCCCACTTAATCCTGCTAAAACATAAGCTATGTTGAATCTTACTTAACACAATAGGTAACCAACTGTATCCACCAAGGAGTTAGATTTCAAGGAAGAAATGGAACTAACTAATACTAGCAAACATCTCTAGTCTAGACACAACATAGTCTCCATGTACAGGAGACACAACTGACCAGCACAGTGAGGGGACAGAAAAAACGCCAGTCTTGAGAGACAGTAAAATAGGCAGAAAAAGGTTTTGCTAGCTGAGATTTTGCACGGTCAGGTGTTGGGGCCCAGCATGGCTGCTGGGAAGACACGGGTCTCCTCTTCCCACTGCATGATGCTATTTCCTATTGCCAGATCCCAAACTGTGAAGTACATCTGCTGGTCTGGCAGTAACAACCTTGGCAGAAGAACTTCCTAAACCATAAACAAGCAGCTAAGTAGGCAAAGCAGTGATGGAAACTCAAACAATTAAAAAGAGACTCACATAAATTCTCACTTTTTAAGAATCCTGCTCTGTAACACTGAGTGATCTGACCCGGGAAGCTTTTAGCTACTAATTTATCAACTGAAACAAAGCAAATGAGATGGTAACACCACCATCTCTCCCTCCAGCACCTCTGACAGATCATTCAGGTTTAAAAGTATACAGAGATTGAAGCCTAGGAAGCTTGGCTTCCCACACATTTTTCAAGAGATTTTCCACTTTCTTCCTTTTTCCTCTAAGCCCCACTAGACTGACACCTCCCCTCCACCCCAGCTAGACTGACAATGTGCTGTTAATGTGAAAAGCAATATACTCTGTAGCAAGAGCCAAAATTCCTACACAAAGGGAAGCAGGAAAAATGATAAATATAGTATTAACTTCAGCTCTAAGGTTGACCCCTGAGCTCCACAATGCAACAATCTGCTCACAAGAGCTCAAGTAGAAATGCTATCAGACTGACTCGATGACCAACCTGGATAAAGTCCCTTTTTCCCCCTTATCTCTTATCTCTAGTGAAATCTCAGGTAAGACACAGACTAAACTGCTCTCATGAGCAGCTCAGGACCTGGAGGCAGAAGGAAGATTCCTGCACTGCTTAGAAGCTGAATTGGTCTCTTATTTTATCCTTCCCACTGGAGAACACTGGGATGCACCCTAAAAAGCAATGTCAGCCACGCTACAAACTAAACCACTGTGCCCTAAAGAGATGAACTACCAACTGAAGAAGAGATCTGCTCTTCAGGGATCACTGGCTACTTAAAAGGGTGAAATTTTCCTGCTAAGAAATAGCTTACCCAAACAACCTGACCTCTTGGAAGAGGGTGGTCACCCAACGGGTGAAACATCAGAAGCACTAAAGGTGCAACCTAACTATAAAGACTGTAACAGCAAGAATTTTCTAATAGTGCTTCTGATCCAGGACCTAACCATGGTACCAGAAGGTATCCAGAAACAGAGAATGAGAAGCAGGATACGCTGAGTGTCGGATAGAGAAGTGTTGCAAGGAGATTTCCTTTACTTTCACGAGCTGTCGTCTTTGCTTCATGTTTTCAGCCTCATGCAAGGAGAAAAGTTTTGGCAAGAAGCCTTGTTGCACGAGACAGCAACTCCCGTCCACTCCTGGACATTTGGAACGGTTAACAGCATCACAGCATCCAGTGGAAACAGAATGATTACTGTCCTCCATTGTAAGCATAGTCGGCCTTGTTGTGCATAATCAACTTGTTGTCCACAAAGTAAAAGCTGTCTGAGCGGGTCTCGTATGGATTTTCAACCATCAGACGGACTGTGAAAGAGAAAGCTCAATTACATTCAAAAGCCTGCCACACTCCACTGGACAGCACAAACTCAGAGTAAAAAAAGAACTCTGCCACTCTGCTGGATTTACCAGGCTGATGATCTGCCCTACGCAAGAGAAGCAAACTGCTCTGCTGAGCGCACTTCAAAAGTTCTGGCCTGTCCCCTCCTATTCTTCCTAATAACAGGACAAGTGTTATCAAAAGCAAAGGAGGATTGAGTAATCTCACACAGGATGACCTCAGAAACTGTTAGAGCCACCACTACAGCAGAGCAGTAATCATGTCTGTAAGCAGGGAGGTAGCAACCTGCAAACGAAAAAGCGGCGTCATCCCCCACACGCACACAGGCAGGGTACAAGCTCTGCGCCTCCTCCCCACACCTAGGCAGCCACAGAAGGGCCCATGTGCTCCTGCTCTGTCCACCCCCCTGAGGTCAAACATATCCTGTGCAATGTATATTTGCAGAGATCTTAGTAGGCTCAAAAACACACCTCTCAGAGAAGAGCCAGTTCTGTTCCAAAGCCGAAGGCTCAAGCCCTAACAAGCCCTCAAGTGCTGTAAACAGATGTGTGGCTACCAAGAGAACCCTTTTCCAGGGTTTTGTTATCTTCTGGGCTACAGTGCTAGGCATCAGGCACGTCAGCCCTGTGATTGATCCATTCTTGCAGCCTGTGACTTGACAACACAGGTTGCCTTCAGCTTTCGTTTTCAAAGGAGAATTTGCAGCACAAATCTGTAATTCAGTCAAGATTACACACAGCTTAAGCCAGGAACCTGTATCTATTTATTTTTGTCCCCCTCCATCCCAGTCACAACTTCTTTCACAAGGAGACAGAGGGACAAGAGGAGCATATGCACACACACAAACAAAACACAACTCAGTATGGGAAAGGAGATACTTACTAAGGTCTTCTGAGAGCTGAGGGAATTCATAAATGTGTTCACATGTGTTCCTGCTACTGGGGATGCAGAAACCAAAATCAAAGTCAAAGTTCTTCAGCAAGCGATCTCGGAAGTAATGTCTCTCAATCATTCGAAAGTTCGACACTGGCTTTTCTCCCACTGTGAATTCCACTCTGTATGCAAAAAGTAGGAGAAAACCAGCTAAGATGACATACCTCTCTTCCCATTGGGAAGGACAGAGCCTTGGACCCGAGGCTACACAAGAATCCAACAGGTCATTCCAGAGAGTGACATCTGTAGCGTAAGATGGGTTCTCGCTTGTCTTTGACTCAGTTTTGTTACAAACTGTCAGGGGACACTTTGTAAACATCTGATTCTCCCTTCTTTCTATGAACTCATACTCACGTTGCACCAACAGTCCGAAGACGGAGGAATGCTGGGGTGAACTGGTAACGAACAAAGCGGCCTGCACTAGCGTCCAGTTCACTGTTGTCATCTTCATCCTCATCATCTTGTTCTAGAAAACACAACAGCTCAAAGTTATTCTGCTAATAGTGTACACGTAAGGTAATACTGGCTAGCAGGTGTATCGGGACAAGCTGCCTATTACACAGGCACTGAACGTAAAGGTGTTTAATGACTGGTCTGAGACTTATACTGGCACTAAATAATAAAGATCTGCTGTGACGGTACAGCCTTGGTGGCTCTGGAGCTGAAACCACACAATCTAACAGGATATCCCCCCTCACAATTGCCAAAGCACACGAAAGACACTCGGTACCATAACCAACCAACAAGGGAAGATTTGCAGTTGATAGTACTCTCATCTCATAATAACCACTTCGTGGTTTTATGACAAGTTTCTCAGAGAGGTAAACTCACAGTTGCTGAGTTTACCTGGAATTTCAGAGGAATTTAGTCACCAGGACATATCAACGGTTATCTTTCTCCTTGGTTTGCATGGGTCCTGCACTGCAACTTCTCAGCTTCCCTGAAACGTTAGCATAACCTACCTGAAGCAGATGGCTTTGCAATTTCAAACAACACTGTTCCGGTTTCAAGGTCTCGGATCTTAAACCTGGTGAAGTCAATGTTGTAAATGTTGTCCTCGGGTTTGCATAAATAATCTAGAAAGAAAGAAAACATAGAGTACCCTTTCAAAAGATCTACCGAGCAATTACCCATTGAACTTTTTTTTTTCCCTCACTCCAGACTGTTAGGATACATACTGCAAGTTGTTTTGCAGAAGCTTTAGGAAAGCAGGACAAAATTGAGGCTAGGAGAAACAAAGGCACACTAGGTGCCAGAGAGCAGAGCAAGAAAGGGAACGAATCGGGACAGAAAAGCAGAGATCTGCAACCCAAGGGGGAAAAAAAAAACAAAACCAAACCAACCAAAACAAAACCAACAGAACAAACCCAAACCCGAAGCACACCTCAAACTTTCTGGAAGTTGTAACAAAGCTGCAGGCAGGAGCACACGGCGCTGCTGCGCAAGGCGCACACTCCTCAGCCGGTTCAAGGCCGGCGCACCGGCTGGCACCACTAACGCGGGGCGCCCGGGCTCCGCCGCTCCCTCCT